ACCGTCACTGAGAAAGAATGTCTGGCAATCGTCTGGGCCCTTACCAAGTTCCGACCTTATTTATTTGGTCGCCCATTTGATGTAGTGACCGACCATCACGCACTATGCTGGTTGTCATCATTGAAAGATCCCTCAGGCCGTCTCACCCGGTGGGCACTTCGCCTGCAAGACTACGACATCCGCGTGCTGTACCGCAACGGAAGGCAACATGCTGACGCCGACGCCCTGTCGCGCTCTCCCTTGCCTGAAGACAATGCCCACGACTCAGCGTCTCACCTTGCCGTTTCTTCCATTAGCATTCATGCCGTTGCTACTGAACAGCGCAAGGATCAATGGATTGCCTCACTGATAGACTTGCTGACTGATCCATCCACTCCATCCACTCGCGCGTTGCGTCGTCAAGCCCACCATTTCGCCGTTCGCGACGATTTTCTCCACCGACGCAATTACAGCGGTGACGGCCGCCAGTGGCTACTAGTCATACCCCGCAGTCTGCGCTCTGACATATGCGAATTCTTTCATACTGATCCGCAATGTGCGCACTCCGGCGTATCGAAGACTTACCAGCGCATTCGCCAACGGTACTTTTGGCGCGGCATGTACCGCTATGTGCAGAAATTCGTTCGCTCCTGCATAGAATGTCAGCGCCGCAAAACTTCAACGCACCTGTCGCCGGTAGGTCTGCAACCTCTACCTTGCCCTGCCAGGCCGTTTGGGTGCGTTGGCATCGATTTGTATGGGCCACTTCCACTAACGTCGGCCGGTAACCACTGGGCCATTGTTGCTGTGGACCACCTCACGCGATACGCCGAAACTGCCGCTCTCCCTGCGGCTACAGCGAGCGATGTGGCCTCCTTCCTGCTTCAACAATTCATGCTGCGACACGGTCCACCTCAGGAACTGCTCAGTGATCGAGGCCGCGTCTTTCTGTCTGAAGTCATTGAAGCCATTCTCAAAGAGTGCAACGTTGTTCACCGCAAAACTGCTGCTTACCACCCGCAGACGAATGGCCTCACTGAACGCTTCAACCGTACGCTCGGCGACATGCTCTCCAAGTACGTCGCCGCCGATCACACAAATTGGGATTCCATTCTACCCTTCGTCACCTACGCATATAACACCGCCCCTCAGAGCACTACTGGCTTTTCACCTATCTTTTTATTATATGGAAGGCACCCGTCGCACACCATCGACACTATACTTCCGTACAAGCCAGATCCGTCAGAGTGGGCGCCTATTTTTGCTACAGCCAAGCTTGCTGAAGAGTCTCGAGAGCTTGCAAGGACCTTTACAGCGCATGATCAAGAGCGGCAAAAAGGCATTCGCGCTGACACCAGCACTACTGCGCCCATGTTCCTCCCTGGAACGCTCGTCTGGCTCTCGATCCCTACCACTTCAACTGGCCTATCTTCAAAACTATTGCCCAAATACGAAGGCCCCTACCGTGTCATCGAACGCACTTCCCCTGTAAATTACTTGATCGAACCCATCGAACCATCTTCGGACATGCGCCGTCGAGGGCGCGACATTGTCAACGTGGAGCGCCTCAAACCCTACCACGACCCGCTCATAGTAACCAGCTGCTAGGTCGCCAGGCGGCTCCCTCTTCGTACCCGGGGTAGTTGTGGTGAAGCCTTCGAACAGTGGGTCGTCCTCTCCAGCGCCTTCTAGTGGGTTGCCGTTTTTAGCAAGAAGAAGAGCAGCTCGTGCAGAGAGTCGGTACCCGCATTGACTGTCGCTGTCAAGCATCGTCGACAAGCGTACGCCAATAAACGTCTCAACAATATATATATATATATATATATATATATATATATATATATATATATATATATATATATATATAAGGGAAAGAAGTGTATACCTAAGGGCTCGTTTTTCCGTGTTTTTAACACAATAATAATGAGATATAACAGACAGTAATGCCAAGGAATGTACAGGGGAAGTTATTAACATTAATGGAATGTAAATAAGAAGAAAGAAAAGTGGATGAAAAAATTTCCAACTGTAAGCAGGAATCGAACCTACGACCTTCGAATTACGCGTTCGATGCTCTAACCACTGAGCTATTACAGCGGCCCTCTCTCCATCCACTTTTTTTGGGTTTATCTGTGAATTTAGAAGTAGGAGCGACAGTCAGCGCCATCTATAAGCCAAACAACGAGTGTGAAAACACTCTTATGCGCATGTTTGGCGTCACGTAGCACGTAAACTTATTATGAGCGGGCAGCTGATTAATTGTCCCTCTTATACAACCTAAACACACCAAGTCTGCCAGTACGAGACCCTCGTTCAATGAAATAAGGGAAAGAAGTGTATACCTAAGGGCTCGTTTTTTCCGTGTTTTTAACACAATAATAATGAGATATAACAGACAGTAATGCCAAGGAATGTACAGGGGAAGTTATTAACATTAATGGAATGTAAATAAGAAGAAAGAAAAGTGGATGAAAAAATTTCCAACTGTAAGCAGGAATCGAACCTACGACCTTCGAATTACGCGTTCGATGCTCTAACCACTGAGCTATTACAGCGGCCCTCTCTCCATCCACTTTTTTTGGGTTTATCTGTGAATTTACAGGCACCGTCCACACAGTTGCAGCGCACGTGTCATTCATCTGAGCATGACAGTCAAGCTAGGCAGTTTCCGCTAACAAAGTAGGTACTTTTTGGCTGTGAATATACATAACAGGCATAATAAGAAATAAAAGTTTGTCATCTCTACCTAAAATATTGGGTATGGGGGAGCAGTGATGTCGAAATAGTTGCTGAAGTTTCACTGGAAGTTGAGTCTTCAAGTGAGAACCAGGGACACGTGGTGGTCTATATTTATTATGAATTCATTCTTCTAACCTGTTATCCATCTCAGGAATACTTTATGCAAAATATTTTGTTATTCCGTAGCATTACACAAAGCAGAGTTTGTTATGGTAGGGACGGCTTAAGCTCTCCCATAGTAGAGTACCCGGTACTCTAAATCGTTACCCACTTTTTTTAACCCCCCCCCTCTCTCTGCTATGAGTTTAATATGCAGAGTGTCCCACGTGACTTGAATTAGAGTTTAAAGTTATGCCGGAACATCTATAAGCCAAACAACGAGTGTGAAAACACTCTTATGCGCATGTTTGGCGTCACGTAGCACGTAAACTTATTATGAGCGGGCAGCTGATTAATGTCCCTCTATACAACCTAAACACACCAAGTCTGCCAGTACGAGACCCTCGTTCAATGAATAAGGGAAAGAAGGTATACCTAAGGGCTCGTTTTTTCCGTGTTTTTAACACAATAATAATGAGATATAACAGACAGTAATGCCAAGGAATGTACAGGGAAGTTATTAACATTAATGGAATGTAAATAAGAGAAAACAAAGTGGATGAAAAAATTTTTTTTCATTATCATTATATAATATCTCATTATTAATATATATATATATATATATATACTGACGCGCGCACGGGTTGTCACGTCGTATTTTTGTATTTCACCGGTATTACGATTAGCAGAAAAACACTAATACCTAACAGATATAGAGTTCAGAACTGTCTAATCGAACGTTTTGCAAAGCGATCTACAACTTTCTCTCTGAAATTTTTTATGTCTAATCATTTCTTGAAAAGTTAGCTAAATAAGCATATCTAATTAGGCAATAGTTAGAACACAAAAAATAGTCTGAATAACTCCAGGCAACGGGCAACGGTGAGTAACATGCATTTGGTCACGTCGTAATTACGTGTTCCGGCATATTTTCGGGCTCAAGCTACGTGGGACACCTTGTATATATATATATATATATATATATATATATATATATATATATATATATAAGCCCGATTCATGACCAATTTTTTGGGTACGTGTGAGCGAGAAGTTTGTAATGTACGTCTACAGCTACCTAGTACACATGTGTCTGTCTCTACAGCATAACCTATACCTGAAATGCGCCTTCGGTGCTTGCAGTCACAAAAACAAGTTAATGTGACCGGACAGGTGTCAATGGAAACTGCGACACAGACTCCTGTGGGCGGAGCTTACATTTATTCTCAATTTGCAACTAATTAGAGCCCAACTTTTCATTTTACGGCGTGGCCTAAGTGCTTTCGCCACCGGATATGTGCAGCAAGATGGGAAGTTAGGCCAGGTCGATTACGTTTATGTCTAAAAATTTGGCAGAAGCGCACCGAAAAAGTGCGGACAAGGGACGGTGACAGGACGGTCGTTCGGGTGGACTTCAACCCAATTTTCAAACATGAACGGATATGTGCATTTCATGTTCATAACTCCGGATGACCTTCCTGATCCCGCATATGCACACTAACGTGCGAGTGTACACGATGCTCTAAGAAGCCGTAAACCACCAAGAGGCCGAAATGTGGACGTCGCGTTGCAGTTGTGTACAATTCTGCAGTGAGCGCTGGTGGAGTTGCACGCATTTTCTCCTTTCGCTCTTTCCTTCGCTTGGCGGCGCCCGTCGGCTTTTCTCACGACCTCTCGCCCTTCCTCAGCGCCCGACGTGGAAATGCAAAAGGCGCGTGCATCGGCTAGCCGAAAGCAGGCTTTCCTTCGCTCAATGACAGTGTCCCTTGTAAGCAGCGTTATTTGTATTGCACACAGCGTCGATTGACGTCATGCCAGCTGTTCTCCATAGAGGAAACGGAGAGGAGCACTCGAGCTTCTGTCGGAGGTTCAGGAGCCCTTTAGTAAAGGTGTCCTCACTATCCCTCCTCAAACACGAAACTTTACCGCACACATACCGCGGCTCGGAGAAAAGCGATGAAAACAAATCATCGCCCCCAGATGACGTAAACGTCACACCAAAATTTGTGACATCGCTATGACGTAATTTTGACATCACGTGACGTAACGACTGACAGAAGAGTTGTTCGTGCACCTTCTCTGTCCCATTTGTTGGCACTGCCAAGTGTTTTTAACGTGACCTAACGTCATCACGTGACATTGTAACTTGGTGAAATGCTGTCACATCTTGGAGGCAATGCAAAATGAAACTTAGTGAGGTGCCTCCGATCTTGGAGCCAGTGCAAAAAGCAATTGAGGTAGAGAAACCTTACGAAGGATTGCGTTTCATTCGAGTGCTCGAGAACCCTGTGAGCTGTTTTACAGTTTGTAAAGACACAGACATTGGGTTGAGCCTATATGCATGAATTTCGTAAACAAAATAAAAAAAAAACAGTTATGCTAATGTGTAGGTGCCTGCTCCGCCACAGAAGCCTCCAGCCGTTGCCGGTCCACCTACTATTCCCAGTGCAGCGGTGGTTCCTAATGCCACGGCTGTTGCTAATGCGGGTGCTGTTCAAAACCCAGCGGCTGTTCCCAATGCGGCTGCGGCTTCATATCCAGTGGCATCACCAGCAGCCGATTTCCTGGCGCTGTTGTCCCCCGATAGGCTGGTATCAACCGCTGCAGGCGCGGAGCACGCCAAACCTATTGAGACTGAGACCGAGCACTTGAATGTCGCCGTGAAGGTAAGATGGCGAAAGAACAGTGATTTAAATGAGTACTGACCCCAGTTTACGATCATACTCTGAGTTATGCGGATAAATCCTTGTGTGTCGACAAACAAGCTGACAGAATTTAGATATATTTCGCTGTTGAACCTAACGGCATTTTGAATATTTTTATCAATTTGTGAGTGATCTGAGAGACGGGCGACATTGGCACACTCGTGAGCCGTTACTTAAACAGCTCCTTACTGAAGGAGCATCAGGACTCTAGCGAGCGTTTTTGATGCGTGGTAAGTTGTGCATGCAGTTGAGATATTTCTCCACTCAAATTCATATATGCCCCTAAACCCCATCTGCACGAGAGATGACTGGGAGGCGGCCCTGCTTGGCGGTCACGACCTGAAGACCCAGAAGGCCCTAGTTCAACGGACGTGAGTGGCACTTGCTATTGGTGCTTCGGAATAGGGGTTCAACCTCGTGCTGGGAGGAGAGGAGGCCAATGAGACCCCAACTCAATCATCTCTCTGCAATCTTTTATTGCCATTTAGATGTTTTACCACCACCACTAATGTTTTTCGTAGAAGGCGAAAGATTCGCTCCAACACGGTGAAATGGCAGTCGCCGGTGGTGATTATATATATATATATATATATATATATATATATATATATTATGAAGTCTTGGTAGTCTTGTAGTCTTGGCTGCGTCAGCGTTTATTTGAGGAAAGACCTCGCAAAACTAGCGGGCAGAGCCAGTACACAAACGATGACGATGATGATGATCCAGAGTCGCAATGAGGACAAGGAGACAAGCTGATGATGGTGATTGTGATCATGCACGGATTAGTACGATGTAGGTAACAAATGCCCACACTAATTCCCCCCCCTTGGAAGCGGACACCCTGGCCGCCGTAAGTCAAAGTGACGGGGAACGTCGCGTGAAAGGTTTCATGCGACAAACGTGGACAATCTCTGTGCTGCGGTAGCGGCGGTCTGTTGGGGCGACGAGTGATGTCACATGATAATTAACCATCGAAGTCTGTTCTAAAACAATGTATGGCCTAATGAAGCGTGGTTTGAATTTGTCACAAAGACCAGGAGTGCGAATAGGTGTCAAAAGCAGCACCTCGTCACCAGGCTGGAAAGACACAGCGCGGAGGGATTCATCATAGATGATCTTCCGCTCGCGCTGTCTCGCTTCAGTATTGATGCGAGCCTGGTGGCGAGACTGGGCAAGGCGGGAAAGTATTCATCGCTAGAAGACTGACATGAATTCCCATGGCTGGTAAAGCAGTAGACGTCGAGAAAGGTAGTCGGGGTGCGTCCGTACACGAGGTAAAACGGTGAGTAGCAAGTTGTTCGCTGAATGGCGGTGTTGTAAGCGAATGTCAGGAATGGTAAAAGAGTATCCCAGTTTTTGTGGTCGGGTTAGACGTAAACGGCTATCATGTCAGCAAGGGTTCGGTGCGATTTTTCTGTGAGACCATTTGTTTGAGCGTGGTAGCTTGAAGCTGTCTTGTGAGTACTTCCAGAAGCGCGCAGTACTTCATTTGCCATTTGTGACAGGAACACTTTGCCGCGGTCACTAAGCAGTACACGAGAAGCCCCATGACGCAGTATTATGGCGTGACGAATAAGGTCTGCAACTACCACAGCTGAGCCTGAAATAACAGTGGAAGTCTCAGCGTAACGTGTCAGGTGGTCCACGGCGGTCACTATCCATCGTTTGCCAGCCGATGGGACGGGGAGAGGCCCGTAAAGGTCAACACCTACAACCTAGAACGGCATTGAAAGGCACGGAAGTGGCTGTAGAGGTCCAGCAGGAGCAGACGTGGGGAGTTTACGACGCTGGCATGGGTAGCAGGAGCTGACGTACCGCGCTACAATAGAAGAAAGGCCAGGCCAGTAATAACGACATCGAATGCGGTCAAGAGTTTTTTTTAAAACCAAGATGACCAGCAGTCAAGTCGTCGTGGAAGGCTTCGAGTACCTGAAGTCGAAGAGAGCGTGGCAGTACAGGAACCCAGCGCTGACCGTCAGGGTGATAGACGTAGCGGTAGAGAATCCCATTGTCCAGCCTAAAGTGCAGGAGTTGACGATGGAGTCGCGCGTTGGGTGGATGAGAAACTCCCGAAAGGTGGTCCATTGCGTCTGCAGTATGAATCGGACCGCTGGTTGGAGATAAATGTTGGCGCGTCATCCGAAAAGGGTTGCCTTATTCATGCGAGCGTATGAACTTTGGTAGATGTGGCGGTTGAGTTCTCACCAACGAAGATATGGGTAGTTGGAAGAGGGCAACGAGATAAAGCGTCGGCGTCTTGATGTTTTCTGCCTGAATTGTAAGTTATGTCAAAGTCGTACTCCTCCAAGCGTACTATCCACCGACCCAAGCATCCGGACAAGTTCTTCAGTGTAGAAAGCCAGCATAAGGCATGGTGCTCCGTAACGATTGTGAAGTGACGGCCGTGAAGATAGGGATGGAACGTCTGGACCGACCGACCCACAGCCAAACACTCTTGCTCAGTTATAGTGTAGTTCTTTTCGGCAGGGGTGAGTACGCGACTGGCATATGCAACAACTTTCTTTAGGGAAGACTTGTCGCGTTGTAGAAGAACGGCTTCTATACCAAGGCTGCTAGCGTCAGTATGGAGGATAGTCGGTGCGGCTTCGTCAAAGTGGCAGAGCAGAGGTTCAGACGTGAGTGCCCACTTCAACAGGTCGAATGCCGTTTGACATTCTTGAGACCACAGAAAAGGCACGTTGGAAGCAAGTAGTTGGTGTAATGGAGCAGCATTAGAAGCGAAGTTTTGGATAAACCGGCGAAAATAGGAGGCGAGGCCAAGGAAACTGCGAAGCTCTTTGGTTTTTCGGGACGCGAAAAGTGAAGGACTGCAGAAATCCTGTCAGGGTCGAGCCGGATGCCACCTTTGCTAACGACGTTTCCTAAGACCTTGAAAGATTTGCTAGCAAAAGAGCATTTACTAATGTTTCTTTGAAGCCCGGCGCCGGCAAGGCACGTCAAAACGTAATCCAATTGTTCTAGGGGCTCAGGAAACGTAGACGAAAAGATAGTAATGTCGTCCAAGTAGCAAAGGCAACTTTTTCATTTCAAGCCGCGCAGCACGGTATCTATCATGCGCTCAAAAGTCGCGGGCGCGTTGCAGAGTCCGAAAGGCATCACGTTGAATTCATATAGCCCGTCGGGGGTTGCGAACGCCGTTTCCTCCTTATCGTCTTCATGCATGGAGATCTGCCAGTACCCAGAACGCAAGTCGATGCTTGAAAAGAATTCTGCGCCTTGTAGGGAATCAAGGGCGTCCTCAATGCGTGGCACAGGGTACACGTCCTTGCATGTGATCCTATTGAGCGCCCGGTAGTCCACGCAAAAACGCACAGAGCCATCCTTTTTACGGACCGAAACAATAGGAGACGATCAAGGGCTAGATGAGGGACAGATGGCTTCCCGTTTAAGCAAGTCCACAAAATTTTCTTCTAAATTTTTTCTTTCAGCTAGAGACACGCGGTAGGGTCGGCGGTTTACGATAGATGTCCCAACAGTTTGAATTCGATGTGCTGTAGTATTAGTGCGGCCCAGCTTTGACGAGCAAATATCGAAAGAATTTGCATGTTTCTGTAACAATGCGAGCAGCTGCTGCCTCTGTGAATATGTCGATTCGCTGCTGATAGCGGTGGTAAAGGCGGAGGAAGAAACATGCTCACCGACGGAAGGTTCTTTGAATGCGATGGCCCGAAGTTGCGTGACAAATACAGGCTCGAAGTCGGCAACACGGGCCACAGTAGTGCCCTGTGGCAGTAAGATCTTCTCCGGTGTAGAGTTCACAGCGGTGACAAGTGCCGAGCCATGGCAATAGCGAAAAGACACCGGACGGAAGAACTATACCTTTGCGAACGCAAAGTCGTGACGGTGAGACCAATACATCCCCGTGATAGATGTCGTTGAACGTAGTGCTGACAATTTGCTCTTGTAGCGGCGGCAGTTCGATGTCTTTCGCAGCGACCAGACGAAGTGGCTTCTGATTGTCGTCGTCAAGCATGTAGTCGGTGTCAGTGAGGTGAACAACGCGTTGTCCACAACAAATCGCCGCGGAAGCAGATGATAGAAAATCTCACCCTAAAATTTGTTCGTGAGAGCAGCGGGACAGGACAGCAAACTGGACATGATGGCGGATGCCATCGATGAAAACACGCACAGTACAAAACGCGGAAGGGCGAATGACGTTCCCCTGGGCAGCAACTAACGTGGGGCCGTTGTAAGGCGTCATTACTTTCCTCAAATGTTCACACAAATCAGCACGTATCACAGACAATGTCGCACCTGTGTCCACTAAAGCATCCACTTACACTCCTTCCACTTTCACAGAAACCATGTTACACGGGCCTGGTGGAGGAATTTCAGTTCTAATTCCGAATGCAGTTTTTCCTCCACAATCTGCATCACTTAGTTTTCCGAATGAATATCGGAGGTGAATGAGGCGGGCCGAAGTGGAGAAGAGGAACGGCGGAAGGGCGAAGGCGAGTGGCGTCTCGTGTTTCGGCTGTTTCGTGGTGCAGTCGATACCGGAGGACATGGAGAGCGGTGCGGGGGAGACGAATAACGCCGACATTGATAAGACGCAATTACTGCAGCAATATTGCTCGTAAAGGCGTATTGTCTCACGCACCATGAACCGGACCTTTCCGTAGAGCCACAGTTCTTTCACGGGGCTTTCATGTATATTTTTCTTTCAGTAGTTAGGTAGCACAATTGTTTCGTCTAATACCATACAAATCTTTCAGGTACACTTTACTCTTTGTTTATGTCCTTTAGAATAATACCAAAAAATATTGGCACCGATAACTTTGATTGAAGTAAATTGAAAGATGTGGTCAATGATGTCTGTTTTTTTTGAAACACTCAATTCCAACCTGTAGACATGTTATTGCAGTAAAATAAACTTGGCCTCGCAATTCTGTGCGGCGTGGCAAATGTCATCAAAACACGATAGTCTTCTGTCTCAAAACATCGCTTTAGAGTTACTGTACATGCTAACTTTATAAAGGTAGCATATACAATAACTTCACGCTTCGTGAGATATGGACGCCATCTGGCAGTATTGTTGGCAAACAAGTGGTTGTGCACAACCCACCACGACTGCCAGGTGTCACAGTAATATCGTCGGCAGAGCGCTTTTAAATGCGAAGCATTTGTTAGGGAACTTCGGCGACTTTGAGCACATCCATCCATCCATCCATCCATCCATCCATCCATCCATCCATCCATCCATCCATCCATCCATCCATCCATCCATCCATCCATCCATCCATCCATCCGTCCGTCCGTCCATCCATCCATCCATCCATCCATCCATCCATCCATCCATCCATCCGTTCATCCAACCATCCGTCCGTCCGTCCGTCCGTCCGTCCATCCATCCATCCATCCATCCATCCATCCATCCATCCATCCATCCATCCATCCATCCTTGTGTCATGTCAGAAGATGGCTACATTCCACAGTCAAGGGCGTCATGCTGGCGTTGCCACGCGAATTGCCCGTCCTGCATATGCTCGCAGGTCCGCCCCGCGTTGCGTGGCTTTGACGCATGCGCATTTCAGCGCGTCCAGAGTCATTCCGTAACAAAAACAGGGAGACGCAGTGTTGTCTGGGTAACTGCATCGGGGCCAAATGCAGCTTGTCACATTTCGCACTAGTTGCGATCGGCCCGTGCCAATGGACGATAGTCGCGCCTGGCGCCAGACTATGGAGTGCTCGCGTTTTTCTAACGGAGCGCCGCTGTGCCCAACGTGCGCGCGCATCAATGCTACACTGGAGTATACTGGGCCCTTGATGATGCGCTCGAGGTCGTTTTCCTAGATCCACGTATACCAAATCGGGTGTTCCATGACGTCAATGGATGACTAAATATATGACTGGTGAAACATGATAATGCTGACACGCGTGTCATGTAAAAACATGACAACATACCACGCTCATAGCGTGCTCGCGGCCGTTTCGCTAGCTCCACATATACTAAATTTGGTATCACGTGACGTGAATAGATGGCGAAAGTAAATGACACATTCAAACATGATAATAATGACGCGGATGTCTTGTACAGCGTCATTTAGCTCCACCTCGTAACGTTGTGCTGATTTTAAAGTGACATAACATTTCTCACTCGTGCTTCGCATATCATCGATTCCTACAGTACGTGGGAACTGCCAAGTTTTTGTGCATATTCTGTTACTCAATTCCAACCTAACTTGTAACTAGTACTCTTAATCGTTACCCACTTTTTCTAAACACATCAATACATATTTTAGTGGAGGAACGCTCCAGCTAATATTTTGGTATTCACGTTGTGGCTCACATAGAGGTGATTACCTGCTTTTTGGTAGACAATGTTCAAAAGTATGAATGCGGCCACCAGTTCAAGATGGCCGAGCGTTGAAAAATTGTATATACTGTCACTGGGTCGCTTAATCGTGTGACAGACAGACAGACAGACAGACAGACAGACAGACAGACAAAAAGACAGACAGACAGATAGACCGAAAGACACACAGACAAGCATACAGACAGATGGACGCACAGATAGACAGACAGATGGACGCACAGACAAATGGATGGACGCACAGGCAGACAGACAGACAGAACAGATGGGACATACAGACAGACGAATGGACGCACAGACAGGCGAGAGAAAGACAGAGAGACAGACAGACCAAAAGACAGACAGACAAACAGACAGACAGATTGACGCACAGATAGACAGACAGATGGACGCACACACAAATGGATGGACGCACAGGCAGAGAGACAGACAGAATAGATGGACGCACAGACAGACGGATGGACGCACTGACAGGCAAGAGAAAGACAGACAGAACGACAGACAGACAGGCGGACGCACAGGGAGACGGATGAACGCCCAGACAGGCGAGAGAAGGACAGACGGACAGATGGACGCACAGACAAATGGATGGACGCACAGGCAGACAGACAGACAGACAGAACAGATGGACGCACAGACAGACGGATGGCCGCACAGACAGGCGAGAGAAAGACTGACAGACAAACAGATGGACGCACAGACAGACGGATGGATGCACAGACAGACAGAAAGACAGACAGACACACAGAACAGATGGACGCACGGACAGACGGATGGACGCACAGAGAGGCGAGAGAAAAACAGACAGACAGACAGACAGACAGACAGACAAACAAACAGATGGACCCCCAGACAGATGGATGGACGCATACATACATACATACACACATACATACATACATACATACATACATACAGACAGACAGACAGACAGACAGTCGGATGAATGCACAGGCAGACAGACAGACAGATTAATACCTCCATGTTCAGGTATCCCAAGAAAGACTACCGTATTTAATAGGCCTAATGTTGCTCCCTTTAGCTGGAACACATATACTCTGCAGAACGTTCATCACCATTAGAATCGCACGAACATATACCTGCGGATGGCTGTAGGGAGGGAGCGAGACAGGGCCAGAGTAGATGGCTGCCCCCTTCAGTGGCTAATAGTGGGACGCTCAAAGCATCTCCCATACTTTGACTTATTAGGGGGGGGATGTTGCGACAATACTTCCCTTCCCTCCCTCAATGCAAACGCATATGCGAACGAAGAAGTACAAGCAAAATTAAAAGCAGTGAAAGCAGGACGCCTCGCCGCTTAAACGCTTCTCTATTTTGGCTTATATTTCAGCTTCGCAAACGTTTGAAGTCCTCTAAATTCATGTGCTGTTCGGTCACGCCACATAGTTCTGCCTCTGAAGTGTCTCTCTATGCGCAGGCATTCCAGCTGCTCCTAGACCGAGCCAGGCACAACCGGGACGTGTCCGGCCAGCCGGCCAGCTTCCAGTACACGCTGTGGTGCATGGTGTTGCTGGTAGTTTTCGTCACGGCATGTCGGGGTGGTGCTGCTGAACAGTGCTGCGCAGCGACAGCGGGACAAGCTCACTTCTACGACGGAACCCGCAACAACGTGTATGTAGTGTGATATCTTTTATATGGAAGCCTCTTCGCACGCGTTATTTGCACAGTCGCACCACGCTTCCACGCACACCTGCAGCACGCAAGTGGCAGTTCTTTCGCCATCCGCTTACGTGCGGTAGCCACATCATACGTGTCCCGGCACGTACGATGTGGCTGCGCGGAAAACGCATGGGCAGGCCCTAAAGGCTAGATAAATCATGCGATAGATTTGTGTGGACACACACGCATCATCTAGAAAATGTTAATGCCTAATATAACCTAGGGTTTTAAAGCATATCTATTGTGCGTGGTGCAAGTACACACGAAATTCACAACTTTGCGACTTCAACCCTAATTTTAGTTAGAACGTAAACCATATTAAACCACTTAGAACACCAGTTTGGTTTGTGGCAATGTTCTTTAGGCATATATTTTAAACGGAAACAGTGAAGCACTTCTTTTGTGGACCAGCACGGAGTGTAAAAGCAGATGCTGTTGCCGCAGCAGTGCATTATAGCAAGTGGAGGAGAAAGAGGACCTTTGGATCGCTTTAGACGAAAACAGGTGACGAAACAGGTTTTATTTCACATCTCTGATCAATCTATACTCAAATGGCGTATGAAAGATACTGGTTTGCAATGTGTTCGAGTAGACGTGAGTGTTAACGTGAATCCACATAACACTCAGTGGAGTGCTGAAGATGTGTTGTTGGGACCATCGGTTGGCAAAATAAAAAGTGGCACTCGGTAAGGCTCACTGAAAAAATATGTCTTCCGCTTTCGACTCACTCAGACTCGCACGAAAATTTTCTTCAAAGGGACTAACTCGAACTCGAACTCGCACAGATGTGACTCACATGGACTCACTAAACACCGATGGCCGCTGCGTTACACTTATTTACAACTGCCCGAAGGGAATGATAGCGGCACAGAAAAAGGAGGCCTTCGCAGAATAGAACCGTCAAAGGAGTGCTCACTTTTTGTGAGCTCCCATTAGTTTTGTACAAAAAAATGTACTTAGTACCACCTTTCTCGCCGCTTTCCGACACTGAAAAAGTGAATGTGCACTTCAAATTCATCTTCATTTATTTAACCGTGGCTCTCGTGCGAACAAGCATCCCATACTTGAGAAGTTCGTCATTCGCTACTTACAACAGAAAAGCTACACCATAAAAACAAGATTTATTATAGTTACGAGTATAAAATAAGTACTTGTCTACACTGTCGCAGGCGTCGGCAGATAATGCAAGTAGCGCCGAAGAGATATTATCGTCCCGATGCAAGCTGTAGAATGAGAATTGTAACTGCCTGTCCTTGTAGCCTATAGCAGAGTCAGGTGTAACGCTACCAAGCGCGATGCCATTCTCTCGATTTCAAACCACAGCGGCCGAATTTGGACCAGGGCGAAATTCAGCCTCCTGTACATCAACGGAGGATAAAAAGAACTCAGAAGAAGCCCTGGCATGAATCTCTGTGCAGCCGTGGTGAATCTAAAAGGCGGTCAAGTTGAATGGCAAATTCTCCTCTCTTGCTTACATTCGAACAGGGCAGTAAAAAGCACGTTGCTCTCTCCGACTTGTGAACCACGTAAGAGCACGAGAAAGCGCTGTCGACTGGACACACTGGCTACGGCATGCGTGGTGCCAGCGTTTTTACGTGTTTATCCATGCTCTGTACAGAAAACAAGATCGGCCACGCGCCGCTGGTTACTGTCAGGCGGCGCCCGGTCGCCATGCTCTTGTTCCATGTGAAAGCACAGCGGCGTCACCATTTTGCAACCGATGATCTTGCGCCTGGCCAGGTGTACAAATGACGTTATAATGCATATGCTATCTGTAGACCCACGAATACACGCCAAGGAGTGGAGATCCTAAGTAAAGCAGAAGTGTTTGATCGGGCACGAGCAAGTTTTTACACTATACTGAACACGAAGCTATATATAATGTCCTCATCTGGTCTCGTGGGACACGTGTGTTTAGTCCGCTTGTCACAAGCAAATCCTGCCCAACAGTCGCATTTTCGCAAGGCGTGAATCGTGCGCGCTGGTCCCGTTCTCTCGTGGTGTTTCAGCATGATATCGCTGACTGAGCACATTGAATCTTTCATCTGCTTTGTGCGCTCCTCGGTGCATGGGTAGGCGCTCGTTGCACGCACTGTTCTTACTACATGGCTACCAGCAGGCATAGGTCGGCAAAAATCTTCGAGCTTACTTAAGCTAACTTGTGAATTATATTTTGCACTTATGACTCACTCGTACTCATGCTCACTAAACTTTTCTGCAACCGGACTCACTCGGACTAAAGATCAAAATATTCCTCACTCGGACTCATTCAGACTAAGATTCGATTCCAATTTGAGCGAGTCGGAGTGAGTGTAGTCATAGGTGCGTTTCTCTAGAATTAGCTCTTTCAACCATGGTGTCAATGCTTTTTAACAAAGATATATAACCTAATCGGTCCTGTTCTTGGCGCCTTTTAATAAAGTATACCTTCAAATACGAGCTATGAGTGGTTGCAAATTAGAGAGAACCTTTTTTTAAAGCTTACGTAGTATCGTATATTTATCAAGAACTTCCCAGGAAGAGACAGCTGGTGGGGAGGAGGGGGCTGAGCTCAAGGGACTCCCGTTTTATTTCACATCTCTGATCAATCTATATTCAAATGTCGTATGAAAGATACTGGCTTGCAATGTGTTCGAGTTGACGTGAGTGTAAACGTGAATCCACATAACACTTATTGGAGCGCTGAAGATGTGCTGTTAGGACCATTGGTCGGCAAAATAAAAAGTGGCACTCGGTAAGGCTCACTCAAAAAATATATCTTCCGCTTTCGAGTCACTCAGACTCGCACGAAAATTTTCTTCAAAGGGACTAACTCGAACTCGACCTCGCACAGATATGACTCACATGGACTCACTAAACACTCAGACTCATGGCTCGATCTGAATCTGAGTAGACTCATTAGTGAGTTTGCCGACCTATGCCAGCAGGTTATAAAAACTTAACCGGGTGCAGTCACAGCCGGGGGAACTCTGCGGGGCTAACAACGATGCAAAAGAATGGATGCTGTCCACCGCGTCTCAATACGAGACAATATAAACGCACATGCCGCCGCGGTCACCATCACAACACGGCATGCAAAGACGAATTCCACCTGACATACCTCATGAAAACGTGGTGGCACTGTCGTCGATATAACTTGGTTTCGCGTGGTAGGCAAAAACCATTTGGCTTGCTGCAGTTGATGCTGTATTTTCGCTGCTGCGTGCGCTGTCTGTCAATTGAAAAGAGGAATAAAGTGGGATACCGACGAGCTGTGACGTTTATTTGTGCTGGAAGACACAGGAAAGATGCGCTAGTTTTCTTTTCAGTTTTCTGTTTAGAAGAATCATTGCAAGACGAGCCAAGCGAGACCTTGCCTTGGTCGAACGGTTATGTTTTGAAGTGACTTACAAAGCAGAAATGATTACTTGTGTCAAGCGGTTGTCTTTGTAATCCACCGCGCCCCATTTTTGATAAATAGGCTTTATGAGGAGACATAGCGAGCATTTTTACCTCAAAGCGCGTTAATGTTGGAAATAGGATTGACATATGTGAAGATACGCGAGCGATGTTTTACTGGTTCTATTGTTATTATTATGGAGAAGCCTTACACGTGTCAAAAAGATTTCGTCATACGCGGTCATGTGTTTCTTTTTGCGTAGGCATGGTTCAATAAAGCAGCAGATAATGATGACTCGCTAGGCTGTTTCTGATTGATTTGTGACTGTGATGACACAACTGACACAAGTGTATCGGGCAACGCTGTTCTGGCTGCGGTGCACATCACGAGATTTTCACACCTGTGAGAATTCACCAAAACGCAGCGCTCGAAAAACTTGTGCATAATGTTTACATTCTGTAGGTAGTTCACGGTTTCAGTTTGAGCGTACACACGAATTTAGCCGCAGATATGACCGGTAGGTAACTGCATTGTCTATAGAATCTAGCTGAAGCATTATCGCAAGCGTATTGAGGATGAGTGCTGTCGAGATTATCCTGGTCGCTTGCATCAATAAGTTCTACCTCACATTTCTTACTTGGGAGGATTCACCGTAAAATTTGGTAGCTATGTATTTTTACACCACACATTTGCATATCGTACCGTAAAGCTTCCTAATGAACTGGATCTGTTGTTCTTCCATTAACTAACATAATAAAATGTACACGTGGGTTATTGACTACCGAAATGGTGATGACATATTGCAAGCTTACAAAATTAAGAGGTAGGTACGCGTGTGACGTAGACTGCCGCAATGGCGATGACTTTTCGCAAATGCCATCACCGTTAAAATACCTCACGTTTTTAAAAGGCTCAAAGCTAGAGCTACAGGTCAACAAGGCTCATATGTTCACTGCAACTTCCTCTGCTGCAGCCGTGGCTTGTAGAGATGCTTGGAGGCAGTTTTTCAAAACAGCTTTGGCCCCTGCTGCACCTATTGTCACGTGATCATAAAGGGTGGTAGCGTAGTTTTGGCTGAGACGGGTGGGTGGATTCTACGCGCCGGGCGTCGCTACAACAAACCAACGTATATCGACGGCACCTACCACTGCTAACTAACATGGGATATATTTATATATACGGTTACATGGCGCACTTTGTTGCGATATGCACTATAGGTACAATGGCGGTGTTACTATGGTAATGCCGCCATTGTACCCTTTGTGTATGGCCGCTAAGACGTCGTTTGGTCCACACTTTCCTCGCAGTGTCTTGGCAGTGCAGTGCCTCATTTTATTTTACTTTCTGCGCATGTGCTCTAAATAAGATGATTTATATTAGGCAGCGAGATGGTAAACATTCTTCCGTATTAGTGCAGTACGGCGTGCTTCTACAACCAGTGGTTTTGGTGCATGAAATCCCAGCAATACAATCAGGAGTTTTATATTGACATTCGAGTTGATTGGTGTTTTGCGTGTTTGAGCCATGTGGAGCAGACTGACACACAATATCATGGAAAGCGTAAATGAAATTATTGCGTGCCCTTA